CCGGCATTCTTCCAATTACATGACCAGTCGGATCTGTGCTTTTCAAACATTGTTTGTTCCATCAGATCACCCATCCCTACAGACTTTTGATAATAAATGAAAGCCTTATATTCATCCTTTTCAGCTCCGATTCCGTTTTGATAATATCAACATAATCCTATTAACGTTTCCTATCTCTGCAGATTTCGGTAACCAATACGTTTATCCTTTTCAATATCCAACCATAAATGTTCCATAACATTATAATTTTATAGTGCTATAGTATCACATTATTACAGTATTAAGATACTATAATATTATAATATTGCGATATTATGGAATTACGGCATTGCGGCAATTGAACACTATGGTAGAATTAATTCCACCAGAGGAAAAGTTGACATAGTGCCGTGATTCAGTAATTCTATATACAATACACCTTTTCTCTTACATACCTTTTTTAATTTGCCGATAATTGTATCCAAGTTTGCGTAGCCACTGGGATACAGTACTTATGCAAATTGTCTTTTTATCTAAATCTTTAAGAAATGTATCTTCGACAAATTTCTTAAATTTTGATGGACATGTAATACCATTTTGTGAATGAATCCACTCATGGCACTTTTTGATAAAATCTTCATTATCACTCAAAGATTTTATTTTTTTATGTTTACCTTGTTGACTTTCTGGTAAACAATTATGCTCAAGCCAATAATTTGCCCAGCCAATAATAGTCGTTCCTTTATTTTCTGCAGGATCAATGTATACTATTTTTGCAGATGCTTTACTTGCGGCCATTTTACTAGAATTTTTATTTAGTCTAACTAAATATTCATAAATTGCACGCTTTCGATTATATTCGTATGCAATCAATGTTTCTTCTTGATTTATTAGGTCCAATTTTAAATTATTGATTTTTTGATTTAAATCTGATTGAATTTCATCTTCATTAACCCATACGAAAGTGCTAGGAGTTTGTTTTTGTTTTTTAACACGAATATTAGTATTAATAAGGTTTTTTGATAAAGGCATTTTCAAATAAAATTTTTATAAAAATATGATAAGTATTAGATAATATGAAAGTTGATTCAGTATATCGCGAATAATACCCCGAATAATATACTCCCTTATAAATAGATTTCTATATACGAATATTTGTTTAATGAAAAAACTGCATCTTAATGTTACACAACTGATTTTACACACAGTAAACACATAAAAAAATTATTTTACAATACTTGATCGGACTTGATCAGTCAGCTAGTACATGTTATGATTATAATCCA